CTTAGCAAGATCGAATGTTTTCAATGATATATATGATGTGCGTCCTTGCAAAAGTTGTAATTCATTCAATGATATTTTTCCGTATTGGAGTCAAATCGGTATGAGACTTAATTGTAGCCAACTCCTGTTCTATTCTTGTTGTTATATTTGCAATAGAGTCATCTACATATTTTTTTGTTGCCATATGTTTACCAGAAGTAGGCGGATTTCTCGAAATAAACTCTGTTATTTGATCTGTTTTTGCTGTTATTTTTTTTAAATCAATCACTGAAGTATCTACGTATTTTTTAGTTGCCGCATCTGAATTATCTGTGGGATCTTTTATATTACACAACTTTACGTTCTTGAAGTCAACATTTCCATCAGAAGTATGGGGTAGTGTTAACTTTGGCGGTGTACGCATATACGGAAGTGTCTTTTGTTTATCAAAGCGACGTCCGAATTTATCAAGACTCATCGTGTAAATGAAAGACCAAGGAACTAGATTACTGTATTATATTAGCTTCTTTTAGCTCGTTGAGGATGGCTACTATTTCATTATCATGCGACGTATTGCCAGCTTCCTGAGATGCCATAAGGAGTTTAAGTCGATCGATTAATTCATTGGGATCATCCCAGTACACGTATTCGATTGGTTCCTCGTTGTATGTCAAGTAATCACCGATACCTTTTCCTGTTGGCGGTTTTGATGTTGATGATGTTGTTGTTGTTGTTGTTGTTGAGGGAGTGGATCTTGTTAATGATCGACTAAGTGGACTACGTATTTTTGTAGATGTTGATCGTGTGACAATTGTACCTTTATTTTTCTGCACATCTTTAAAGAGAGGCTTAATAATGTGATTATATTTAAATCCTGTCGAACCTTTTAGGCGTCCAAGCGAATCTAAATGAACACCGGTACTTTGCAATAGATTTTTATAGGGTTGTAAATCTGCATCTGCATAGTTTGGGTCATTATAGAATAAAAGTTGATACAGCCCAGGTGTGCCACGAAACCATGTACCTGCTAAGTTTGTCCCCTCAGGTAATATCTGTATTTGGCCAGTCGCTCTATCAAATTTAATTCGGCGTTTACCTAACATCCAACCAATGTTGTCGGTATATATAGGTCCATAATTTTTATCAATTTTATCGTTTTGTGTCCAAAAATCTTGTAAATAATTATGGCTTATTGGGGGATATTGATCTAAGTATTCTTCTATTGCTTCTTGTGAAAAATCAGCAGGACGCATTTCTTCAGGTAGTGGTGGTGTTTCAGGTCTCGGCGGTATATTACCTTGTTCATCAGTTGAAGCCACGTCTTCTAAATTGAGATAGTTTGGGTTCTGTGTGAATACATCATCATCATCATCATCATCATCCTGTTTCAATTTTTCCTCTTTTTTAATAATAAATGAAGGATGCTGCTGAGTCTTAGCTATTTGCTTAAGAGGTTCAGATATTGGTTTGAAAAGTTTTCTAATAGATTCATCTTCTGCAGTTCGACCTAACTTTAAAGTAAGATACTTTTTACGTATAGCTCGAGCAAGTTCTGCGATCTTTCTTTTATGACTAGCAACGGCAACTTGGTCCTTTGACATCATGTTACTGAATGATGGCGTACATGATAAGCCTACAATTTTATGTACTTATCAAATCCTACTCTGTATCGACCATAATTAAGAGGAAAGTCTTTAACAATAACTAACGTACCGTACTTTTCTGCCCAACATTCCGAACACATCTTTTTGAATTCATCAAAAGTAACATCTGGAGATACATGCTCATCAAATATATGTTTTAGATTAATTTCATCCTGCTTAAATAGTACTATAATGTTACAGTTGTCTCGTATGAGCTGTTTTGGAATTTTAGAGTATGTTTGGCAGAGATATGCAGCATCGATATCTTTATGACGACACATGGAGTAATACTCTCGAATTTTCTGCTGACCGTCACACGACACGTCGTCAAATATAAATATAGAGCTATTTTTAGCCTTACTTGGACTTATAATTTCCTCGTTATCCTTAAATGGGAAATAGCCAACACCCTTAGCAGCGGAAATCACTTCTTGAAGCAGTTGATACTTTGGTTGATACAACGATTTTGAATAAACGTAAACATTTTTAAACTTAGCACCGTTTGGATGGAAAAGCAGCGCCAGCATTACGTTCGTTTTTCCACATCCGCTTGGTCCGCAGATGATAGCGCGAAACGAATTCGGTAACAATTTACCATGTTTACTATGTTGAGTTTTTGCTGTAAAATCCAAGTTATCAATGGGTAATGACTGCTCTTGTTGAACAACCTTCATCGTGTGGCGTTCGAATAGGGAATGTGTAAAAGTATATATGTAGATATTGCTAACGCATCATCAACAGTTCTCATGTTAACGTACAAGGGTGAAGGTGTTGTAAACTCTCTGATAAATAATCTTCCGATAGAACTCCACGTACCTTCGTATCAGTTCCTGGGACGTAAGTGTGCGACAGATTAGGATATTTTTTTTTTTCATTCTCACACATGTATATGTATATTTTCAGCGGGGACTAAATTAAAGAAGAGGTTAGCACGAGGAGATCCTGGAAAGAACCCATTGGATCGTGCTGCAAGAGACCACGATATTGCATACGCCTTATACAAAAATTTGAAAGACAGACACAAAGCTGATTGGATTCTTGAGAACCGAGCCTGGGAACGTGTAAAAGCACCTGACGCTTCACTAGGAGAAAAGACTGCAGCTTGGCTAACAACCACCGCAATGAAAGTTAAGCGAAAATTGGGTATGGGGCAGAAGAAATCATCTTTTCGACGAGGTGTTCTCACGAAAATCACAAAGTCCTTGAAGAAAAATGCTCCCACCACCACGACATTAAAAAAGTCTGCATTGGTTGCTCTTAAAGCGGCAAGATTAGCGGTGAAGAGTGCAGGTGGAAAACATAAAGTTCGACTACCGAGAATAATTCCGATCGAAGGAAAATCTGGGGGATTCCTACCCTTGATCCCCCTTTTCGCCTGATTAAGTGCCTTGGGGGCGCTCGCAGGGGGAGCTGCAGGTGTGGCCAAAACGGTCGTTGATGCCAAGAATGCACAAAAGAAATTGGAGGAAGACCATCGCCATAACAAAGCTATGGAGTCTTTGGGCAAAGGATTGTATTTGAGAAAAAATGCTAAAGGTGGTTATGGGTTGTACCTCAAAAAAAAAACTCAAAAAAACTAAACATCAAGCTACCCAAGAAGCGCTTTATGATTATGAAATAAAGCAATATGCGAAGCTCTTGAACATACCTCATTTCCGAGGTGTCTTCATGCGTGACACTTACCACGAGACGGTCCACGTAAAGAGAATGCGCCGTCGTGAACTTAGATATTTCACAAAACAACGGAACTCATTGGGTAGCTTATAAAAAGATAAACAACAACGTTGAGTATTTCGATTCATTTGGTAACCTGAAGCCTCCACAGGAACTTGTTCGATATCTGAAAAACGCTAAAATTTTCTACAACAACGATCCTTACCAAACTTATAATCAAGTTAATTGCGGACAATTGTGTTTGAAATTTCTATACAATAACAACAACAACGATGGATAATAAAACATTATCGGAATTTACATTAGAAGAGTTTGAGAAGAATATTCCGCCGCTGGAATATTTAATAAGCAATGTGAGACCTGCAGAATTATTGAGTATATGGCACAAACTGCCTGCAGAATACACATCCAATTTTGATCTTCAAATACGACTTCCATGCTATGTTCACTACAACAGACCTGATTGGACAACACATTGGGATGGACCGGCTACTGCTCAAGCAAATTGTTATTTCTGTAAATTATCCATTCGAAAATAAACAAAAAAAAAAAACTTGAATAAATGCTTAGTACACAGCTATATTTTTTCATTCATCATGTCGCAGTTGTTGAGAGTCAATAGCACTACTCATATATTTTCATTTCGTCCTTCAACACCGATAGTGTTGGATCCGAAAAAAGATTATGAATTGGCGCTTAGTTCTTTTACTTCATACAATTCCATACCGAATATTGAACAAGGAGATAAATTTTATTATAGCGACCGGATAGGTGGTGGTGGTGGTCAATTAAAAGTCATCGAGTCTTCCGACAGGTTGTTATGAACTTACCGACATAGAACATTTATACGAACGCAAATGATCTTGAAAATGAAGTGCTCCTCCGGATGATTATTTTTCTCTAAAACCTAACCATAATACACTGCAATGTGAAATCTTTAGCAAGTATTATAAAATAGTTTTACAGAACCGAATAATCTTGGACATCTATTGGGATTCTCGAAAAAGTTCTTAATCCTGGTCAAAAGCATTCTTCTGATTTACCTGTAACATAATAAAAGTATCAACCATACACTTTGATGCTAACATTACGTCGGGAGCCCTTTGACGGAGACACGCCTGCACACACGATCTACGAATTTGCTGTGACAGCCGATCTGGATACGCTATAGTCGAAACACCTGTAAATTTACTATATCT